TTTCTGCCATTGTCCTTTAAGGTCCATCTTAATTCGTCCTTTAATAAGACAGACTTTCCAAGTTCTCTGACCCCACAGAGTGGACCCCCTCCGCTCACAGCGTCACGTCAGTTTTTGCCTTGCATACGCCATCCATGCTTGCACAGGCCTCCTCCTCCCACACTGAGTGCAAGCCTGGTCCTTAAATATCCCTTCCTATGCCAGGCATATCCTAGATATAAAGTGGGTGCTGGCTCCCCTCCTCCACTGCCTAGCAGTCGTCAATCTTTCTTTCTTGAGTGTGAGATGCAGCGTGTCGGCGACCAGCTCATCCATTCCCTCCCCAGAACACCCAGAGGGCTAACTGTGTGACCTTTTCCATCTGTGGAACTCCCTTTCCTTCGCTCTCTCTCTTTCCTCTTTCATTTTTCTCTTCAAGTGCATGGTCTTGGAGCTTGTTCCGAGGCCTGGCCTGGCTGGGAAGAAGGCTGCTCAGTTATATTTAGGCTAGCAGAGACATCAGTTTTAGGCTCTTTAAAAATACAGCCCAGTTTCATCTGGATCCTGAAGCACATTCCCACCCACTCCTTGCAAGAAGCTCATTTGCCTACTGCGTGTAGGAGTGTCTCAAATACAGACCCTTCACGTGGCCCACACATGTATGAGCATGCGGGTTAGGATGTCAGCTAACAGCGTGCCTCCCCGCCCCCTCCCACCGCCCGATTCAAAGGACGGTTTTTCTCCTATCCCCAGGTCTTCCTTCACCAGTCTATTCTCTCCTTCCGGTCCCAGAGGACTTCGCGACTTCTCTGAGGCCTTTCTCTCCCCAGTAGCCAGAACCCGACCTGTTACCAGAGAAGATATTGCCTCCTCCAGTTTCTGTTCCCTGTACTCTTCATTCCTACACCCGAGGGTCAGAAGCAAACAAGACAAAGGTCACAAGCTTGAAGCCGACTGTGGGACCTGCAACTGGCCTAGAATGGGGCGTGTGACTTTGAATACATGCTCCCGGCGGGTGGCCTGTGTGTGCAGGTGTGAGACTTACTGCGGATGGGTGAGAAGAGGCGCGTGTGAATGCCAGGGCGACCCTTCCTCCTCCCTCCCTTGGCCCCGCAGCCCTGGTTCTTTTCTGTCCCCACTGATGAAACGCTTCTTTATGTCTTAGTCACATCCTGTCTTGACTACCACAATTGTCTCCGTGCTGGGCCCACATGTCTCTCGTCACCAATGGGATCCAAATGTTGCTGACAAAATGATCTCTCTGCCTTTGGGCTGCAGTCACATTCCTCCACTTTGGCAAATTCTCCTCTCTTCCCCTTACTAGGGGGATCACACACAGTCCACCATCTCTCACGGACTCCCCCCAGCCCCCACCCCTGCTTTCTGAGTGTTTTCTCTCTCTCTCTCTCTCTCTCTCTCTCTCTCTCTCTCTCTCTCTCTCTCTCTCTCTCTCTCTCTCTCGCTCTCTCGCTCTCTCTCTCGCTCTCTCTCTCGCTCTCTCTCTCGCTGCTCTGACATCACAGGGCCAGCCTTTCAGTATGTGGGCACCATCAACGTGTTGTTTCCTCAGACAGCAAATCACACTCCTGGGCACTGCGGAGGCAGCAAGAGCCAAATCTGAGGGCAGCAGTTAATATAAACAAGACGACAGCATCAAGAATCTGGAAGACTTGGAAGAAAAAGGAAGCAGAGAGGGGCTAGGAAGCAACCCTTGGGTAGTCTGGGAAGGTCTCCCCGAGGCCTGGGATCTTCTCTCTACCTTTCTTCACGTTGGGGCTCAGGGCTGGCACCTGGCCCAGAGGGCTCTGGCCTCCTTTTCTCTTTGTTTCTTTTGTGTGTCTGGACGGTAAGGTCAGGGAGGCAGTGGCCCAGCTCTGTTTCAACAGGAGACCCCTTACAGTCTCAACTCACTGAGGATTCCCTAGGGTTGGAAGAAATGAAGTGCACACACACCTTCCCTATTTCCACTTCCTACCCAGAACACCAGTGGTCATTTAAATGTGATTAAATATGGCTGACTGGTGGGTACTCTGCCCGACTGTCCCGTCAACATCCGGTGTCTCCCGTCTTCTAAATTTGAGAGCGTCTACTGTTCGTGGTGACCCACAGCTGCCTCCATCTGCTCACATAGTTCCTCCTCTTTTTCTACAAAGGGCAGCAGGACCCATCCCATGGATTCTCGGTGGTAATGGATAGCATCGTTACTTTCAAACAAGACAGAAAAAAAAAAAAAGCACGCAGTGATATCCAGCTTCAGTGAATAATTATATTAGCAGGTGAAATAACTAACCTGAAATCGGTAGTAATAAAAGCTGTTACCTTTAAAAACCAATGTTGTGTGTGTGTTTTCCTTCTAAGAGGAGAGGGGACAGACAGGCAGGGTTACGTTTAGGCTGAGAATAAAACATGAGTGGCTCATCTCCCCACAGGAGCTCTCTCTGGCAGTTAGCTGCCCACATAGGGTCTTTTTCCAAGTGTCTTAGTGTGGTCTAGCATAGATCTGCCCTGCTCAGTGCAATAATTGTTATCTATAGGAGCTGATAGGCACAGTATGTAAGTGATTCATACAAGAATATACAAAAAGTAGATATAAACTATTTTGTAATTTTAAAAAAAATTTAGTGGCAGCTTGAAATGGTATTTTGAGGTCAAATAAAACGCATTATTAGCTGGGCATTGGTGGCACATGCCTTTAATCCCAGCACTCGGGAGGCAGCAGCAGGCAGATCTCTGTAAGGTCAAGGCCACCCTGGTCTCCAGATCGAGTTTCAGGACAGCCTTCAAAGCAATACAGAGAAACCCTGTCTCGAAAACCAATCTCTCTAGCACTTTGACTTTATTTTTTTGAGACAGGCTCTCCTGTTGAACCTGGAGCTCACCGATTGGACTAAATGGGCTGACTAGAGAGTTCCAGCACTCCTCCAGTCTCTGCCTCCAACAACCCCGGGATTACAGATCATCCATGCCATGTATGGCTTCTGGTGGGTTTTAGGAAATCCAGACTCAGATCTTTATGCTAAGCGCTGACCATGAGCCATCTTCCCAGTCCTTAAGATGAATTCTTAAAATTGATTTTACCTGTTTTTATTTATTTTTTTCCTTCTCTCTGGGACAAGTGTAAAATTTTAAGTTGCATGTGCAGATTACCTATGGGGTTTGCTTGTTTGACATTTTTATCGGTAGCTGCTAGAGTATCAGAAGAACTCTGCTTTAGAAACAGTGGTGTGAAGACGTTACACTACGTGCTGTCCCGAACTCCCTCTCCTGTGTAAGGCAGGCAAAAGCAGAACTTCCTAGGAGAAATAAGGGTCGTTGGGATGGGGGTGGGGGGATGCAGAGGGTGGGGATACAGGAGGAGCTGCATCCATTAGCTAGCCTTGTTCTGCTCAACTATGATTGGATCAGATCGGCCATTCATCTGAAATTGCAGGGAGGCCCTCATTCAATCACCCTAAGTGGAATCTGATCTTTATCTTGGGATAAACATTCCAAATGGAAGGTGAGTGCTGGGAGATAAGGGAGATAAGGAAACCATATGGCCCTGTCACCGGAGGCTCCCCAGGGCTTATTCCTGTAAGGATTAATGAGTCTGAAGGGGGGATCCTCACGAAGTCCTGTCTCTTGAGAAGGCAGAGGCACCCAACCCCCCTCTGGGGATGTGAGTGGTCCCCAGACTTAGAGGACTAGAACTCGGACCCTGCTACTCCAGCTCTCTGTTCTCAGTGGGGATCTTTGCCTACTCTGTCCATCTCCCTTCACTTCAAAAAGTTCAGTATTACCAATATCTGTACTGAGTAGCCCAAGCCTGGATCCCCACCTTGATCTGGTTACTCCCTTCTGCCCACCTGCACCTCTGTTCGCGGCTCTAACTAATGGCGTTTGCCAGGATGGCACAGTGGGGGCACTTTCCAGGTTAGGTTTTTCTTTGGTTCTGTTAGGACCTGGAGTTGCATGGCGGGAGGCGGGGGTAGTATGAACTCCCAAGGAAAGGGAGCTGGGGTGGGGAGGCTGGCTTTGGAACATGTTCTCTTTTCTCTGGTACCACTCCATCCTTCATTCCTCTGACGTTGTTGCTCCTGTGACCCACAGTGGCTGTCTGGGTGCACGAGGGCAGCCTCTCACTGGGCTCATGGTAACCAATGGTCACAGGAAGAACGGCCTATGGAGATTGAGGGCCTACTTTATCTCGGTACTCTACATTGCTTATCTCAATTCCCCATAGCTCTACAGAGGAAACAAAACTTTACCAAGAAGGAAGGAGGCTCAGGGAGGCAAAGTAAGTTCCTGGAGTCTGCATACCCACACACTACCAGCCCTCATGTTGGACAGCCCCTAGTTAATGTGAGCAGTTGTACCTGGCTGCTGTCTGAACTGGACCTCACACTTCACTTGCTGGACAACCAAGCCCACAAACCTCCCAACAGCCCTGGCCAGGAAGGGGCCACCTCCTGGACCCCAAGTTCTAACACACGGCAGGAGGATGGAGGGCTTTAAGGCCCCAGAGTCCCAGCCCTGGGCTTCTCTGCTTCAGGCTTGCTCTGGTCGACGGTCTTGGTTTCGAGCTTCTCTGTGCTCTGAGCACATCTAAACATTTGGAGAAAAACAAGAAAGTGAACAATAGGGGCTTGTGGGCTAGAGAACAGGGCCGACTTCCCCCTGGGACTCCAGAGCTGTTCATAAGCTGCCCCAGCTGCACTCTCACGGTTGGGATGTCACTGGGGCCTGGCTGAATTACAGCCTTGTCCTCCATGGGGCCTGCTACTGACTCCTTTCATACCCAGGGAATGCAAATGTTGGTAGGGGGAGCTGGGGCTGTACAGAGGGGAAGGCATGTTTTCCTGCCTGGAATTTGGGAATCAGGCAAAAAAAAAAAAAAAAAAAAAAAAAGACACACTCATCCGGGACTTGGCATGGTAGCTCTCTCTGCAGGCCACCTCCTGACAGACATGTCCCGACCAGAGATGTTTGCCCCACTGGAAAAGAATCAGCTTTCTATCGAGTGCACTCTGGGCACAGCCCCAGGGAGCTCAGAGTTCGCAGGACCTACAGAACAGAAGTGGCTACTGTGTGCCAGAGCCGTTTCGCCAGGAGGTGGTAGCACAAGTAACCGTTGGTAACAACACTAAGGCAGAAGGCGGCCCAAAGGTGGCTCCTCTGAGTGGCCTCTCTCGGGCTCCATTAGACTGTTGCTAACCACTGTCAGGCCAGGGCAGCAGGGACAGTGTATGTAGTCAAAGTTGGACCAGAGAAGAGCAAAACAAAGCTCAGACCCTCCTCATTCTGGGCTGACCTAAGTGACATCATCAATACCCAGCAGGGCTAAGTGTCCTTGTCAAGAGCTCTTGGCCTCTGTTCCCAGGATGGGAGGCAGCTTTGAGCAGTATCCTGTCTGGGTGGCATCCCTGGAACAGGCCCTAATGTTTTTGAAGTGGCTGCTCAGACATCACATCATACCCTCAGGAGGGTGAACAGTCCTTACGCTCACTTGACCGCCCTCCCTGAGTGATGCTTGGATCTGAGAGCACTTCTGGGTTGTTTGTGCCTGAGGAGAGTGGGGAAGAATTTAGCAAGAAGTCGGTGGTTGGAGGACAGTGGATGTACTCACCAAAAGGGTTGGTAGAGGGCCATGGGGGGGGGTTGTGAGGAGCGGTGTTGTAAATCCGGGACTGGAGAGATTACAGTGGGCAAGAAGATTCCCAGGAAGGATACAGGTGACAAAGTAGGGGAGTCAGGACAAATGGGCCGACTTCTGGAAAGGAAAGGCAAGGATTTAGAAACTAAGAACTTCAAAATGGCTGCCAGGGCCCACTAGATCAGTGGTTCTCAGCCTGTGGGTCTCGGCCCCTTTGCTGGTCAAAGGCCCTTTCACAGAGGTCACGTAAGACCATCGGAAAACACAGACTCTTACATTACAATTCACAACAATAGAAAAATTACAGTTAGGAAGTAGCAACAAAAGTAGCTTTATGGTGTGTGTGGGGGTGGTCACCACAGCATGAGGAACTGTATTAAAGGGTCGCAGCGCTAGGAAGGTTGAGAAGCACTGCTCTAGATAAACAGGGAGTGATAAAGGGGTGTTCTGCGAGCCTTCCTTCCCTTTCGGCTCTGCTCCTCTCAGGGCGTGCCTATAGAGATTACTGAAGGTGAGTAGGGAGTCTTACCTGCTGTGTTCTTACAGGCAAGGTAGTGACGGCTATTGGTGCTCAGGTGGGGAGCCAAAAGCCTGAGCTGAGCCTTCCAGAGCGGGCCGAGATCAGACAGGGCAGATCCAAAAGCTGCTGAGACATGAAGGAGCTGGTGCTCAGAGAGGAAGTACATCCAATATTCTTTACGACATTCCTCCCTCTCCTGGCCCCTGGGGACAGAATATTCTTCTTTTGTATTTAGTTCTCACGAGTGTCAGTGTTTTGATTGCGTATATGTGTGCACTGCGTGAGAGCCTGTGGAGAGCAGGAGGATCCTCTGGAACGGGAGTTGTGGATGGCTGTGAGCTGCCATGGGGCTGCTGGGAACCCAACCCAGTCCTCTGCAGGAGCAGCAGTGCTCTGAACTACTGAGTCATTGCTCCAACAGCAAGACAAGAGTCTGCTTATGTAGCCCAGGCTGACCTCAAACTCTCATTCTCCTGCCTCTGCCTCCAGAGTGCTGAGATTGAAGAAGTGTATTCCCACACCTGGCTCTTACTCTTTGCTTTTGTCTCGTGATTTTCTATTTGTTGGGCTCATGGACTGTGAAAACGTCATAGTCTTGGTGCTTCTCTTGAACTGAGTTCCATTCCTCCCAAGACATTAACGTGAGACTTTGTCCCGTGCTATGGTCATGTCTCTAGGCTCCCTACTTGTCTCACACTCAGTGAAAGTCCACTCTTCTAACATGCAGGAGGCAAGCAAGCAGCCAGCATGCATGTTTGAAGGGGACTCTCCATTCCTAGGAAGTAACACAGCATTATCACTGCGTTTCTTGAATCACGGTCTCCCAGTATCTTTTCCACTGAGCCTCCAACACAGCCTTAGAATTGAGTGAATACAGTAAATGCCTAATTTTACTTGCCTTTGAGACACAATCTTTGGCTGCGTAGGTCCGCAATTTCATGTGGGTTTTCCAAGTGTATCCTTTCTCCTCCCAACTCAACACACACACACAGTTGTCTGGCTTAAATCAAGTGAACATCTGAGTTAGGCTAAATATTCTCCCCTTTTGGCGTGCCTAATGACTTCCATCTTTGTTTAAATTACATTAGGTTTGTGAGACCTGCCCTCCTTATCACTAACATCAGCACTTCAATGTTCCATTTCCACTCATTCTTATAAAAGAATTAAGGTCAAACTCAAGAAAGCATTCACGGACTTGCACAACCATCACTGAACAGTTAACAGGTGATGCTGCAAAAAAATGGAACTGTTGTCTGGCAGGAACCGGTCCTGTGTGTGCCTCAAGCCCTGGTTAACTTGCCAACCTGGGACAGGGTGAAACCAGGGGTGGCTCAAGAGCTTGGATGGTGTAGTCAAGGGAAAATATATATTATTGCCAGAGTCCAAGGTTGAAGCCAAAGGCGACATAGCATGATCTCATTCTATGAAGCTCAACAGGTGTAAATCCCGGCATCTACTTGAGCAAATGCTGCCATGAAATGAAGGTGTAGATGAAGGTTGTTCTCTAAGCAGAGTGCCCCATAGACATGCCTAGAAACCTTCCAGCATTCCTGAACCTGGGCATTGTGAAAAGAGAGGATCCTAGTACCCACCATCATGCTATGCAATTAGAGGGACTGTACACGCTCATCCGGGAGGTTAGTCAAGTAGTAAGTTCTAGGCTATACTTTCCCTAAAGCACAGTAGCTCCAGGCTGCTTAGCTCACAGAGCAACAGGGGAAGGGAGCAAGTTGCTGTCATCTCCAGAGATAGGGGGCTTAGGACCAGCCAAGTGGTGAAAGGACACTTAGTATTCCTTGAAGACATTCTTCAGGCGACCAACAAGTGCCTGGAAACAGATACCCAGGAGCCCTCTGCCACTTAGAGGCAAGGATTGTACAGTGTGGTCCTTGTAAACTGTAGTTCTAGAACACGTATTGAGACCCTTTCTCCTCAGAGTTCCCTGATTACCAAGACCCTTTCACCAAAACTTTACTCTTGAGACAGAATTCCCTTCACAAGGGAAGCATGAGGAAGTGACAGGCTAGCCTGTTAGAGGGACAGAACTCTATCCCTGGGCAGGAGGCTCCAGGCTGCCTCTGCAGTGTCTTTCTGAGTGACACAGGACAAGTTCTCTCATTGTCAAAAGAGGGTTGATCTCTGACAGATCATTTCTATATTCAGGTACTGATTGTTGGAATATTGACAAAATATGACAATATGTGACATGGGAAAGACAAAGCATGATAAAACGCTATCTAATAAGATACTTTTATGTTCTTCCCAGTTGGGAAACTTGTTTTTGAGGGTTTTTTGGGGGGGGGTTCGAGACAGGGTTTCTCTGTGGCTTTGAAGGCTGTCCTGGAACTAGCTCTTGTAGACCAGGCTGGTCTCGAACTCACAGAGATGCTCCTGCCTCTTCCTCCCGAGTGCTGGGATTAAAGGTGTGCGCCACCAACGCCCAGCTTAAGTTCTTTTTTCTAAAATCATTTCTTTCTGTGTACATTATGTGTGTGCTGGTGTGTTATGCAGCCAATGTGCGGAGGCCTGAGTTTGAAGTTAGATGTCAAGTGCTCTCCGTCACATTTTGTGAACGGTGACTTGCTGAACCTGCAGCTCACCTATTCTGCTGGATGGGTGAGTGTAAAGGTTCACCTCTGTCTCGGCTTCCACGGCACCTGGATTCCAGACACCCACCTCACTCCGTGCAGACCCAGGGCCTCTTGCTAGGGCAGCAAGCAAGACTTTACTGAATGAACCCTCTCTCAGCCTCCAGAGAAATTTAAGTTGGACCTGGAGTTTATGAGAAACGATGAAAGGGAGGATGTGGGGCTCCCATTCAGGACTAGAATGAGGACAGCAAAACTAGCAAGCTATTTTCTAAATCAAATAGTCCCGAGCCACACCTCCCTCCTTCCCTTGCAAGTGAAGTGATGCAGGCATTATTCACAAGGTGGGATATCAAAACTGCCTTTTAATTAAATTTAAGAGCAAACTTACTTTTTTTTTTTCAGAGTCTCGAAGGCCCGCATTTTGAATTTGAGTCTGCAAGACCTACTTTGGAAGACAGTTTTTCCTTGACCTGAAAATAAGACGCTTGGGTAGACAGGTGGGGTTTGTGATTCCTGTTTAGCAAGCAAGCCTCCCTAGAGACAACGCAAGAACTCCTTCACCCTCAGCTGCAGGGAACCAAACACCTGAGCTGGAAGGACTACCTGCAGTTCCCAGTGCAGGCCAGTCAGACGGGCAGGGGGAGTAGCTGGACAACTCCGTGCCAGCTGAAAGCCCACTTTTGTTTGACCTACATCACAATCACCCCATCTCTCCAGAGGGAGAGGCTGTACCATGGAAGGTGTGGTTTTCCTCAAGAGGCCACAGTGGGTCTATGGCTGCAGGCAGTCAGCTCTGGCCTCTTGAGCCTTTGAGCTTGAGGGAGGAAGGACCGCCCCCCCTCCACCGCCCCCCATTGGGGTTGGTTTGCACTGGAATGCCACGCTTTTCAAAGAGTCCGAGTGATAAGCACTTTCTAAATATGTACAGCGATGGTCAGATAAGAAACCAAGCGTGGGGCTTTGCGGGTCAACGCCTCCAGCTATGCTGGTCGGGCTCGTGATGGGTTAGTGTTCCCACAGCAAACTTCCGCGTCTCCTTATAGGATCTGCTCTCTGCCAGGGCCCTCATTTTCCAATTTTTACTTCTGGAATTAGAAAAATAAAAAAGAAACAAAGAAAAAGAAAATAAGATCCCATCTCCCCGCGCCTCCACCCTCAGCTCCCACCACCTAAACCCAGGTGACCCTAATGGCCAAGGTGATTCGGGGCATGCGGGGCGTCCCCATTCCCACCTCCTCCAGCCCCCTCGCGCCTCGCTTGGCCCCACAATGCACCCTTGTACCGGGCCTGCAGCCAGGCCGCGGGATTTGGCACAGGGATGGGGCAATATTCGTCAGATATTTAAAACAGAGCCGAGAGAACAAAGCAGGTCTTTGTGCGGCGCGGCGGCGGGAGCTGGGAGCCTGGAGCAGCAGGACCGAGCACGGAGCTTGGCTGGGGCATGGGCGCATGCGTGACCGGTTCTCCCGCGTTCCTCGCGCGTTCCCCGGGGCGGGCTGCAAGTGAGGCTGCCTTTCATATGCCCGCCACAACATGTTTAATTGAAAAAAAGAAAAGAAAGAAACAATCATTTTCCATGTTTCTGTAGGAAGTATAGGCCATTAAAATAAAATGATAGACCAAGTGGGAACTCAGGTTTTAAATGACCCGGACTAATAGGACACTTGGGTCATGTAAAAAACCAAGGCATTTGGAAAGACATCTTCTTTGGATGCTAGAAGTGAAATCTTTTTGAGGGAACGGGCCCCTTTTGTCTTGTTTATGCTTTCGGTTTCCTGTTTATTGTCACTTGGGATTTGGGAGCGATTATGGTTATTGTCAAGACACTGGCTTTTGTTTGGGGACTGTGGGCTGGCCAGCGTTTATGTATTTATTTTATTTTTAAAGGCAAATAGAAGTGGAGTTTTCATGGAACAAAGATGAGATTTTTGTCATGAACTAAGGAATTCTCGAGGGAGGGGTGGTAAATAAATTTTGTTGTTACTGAAGAAGGTTGAAGAACTCTCTTGAGTAGGGTGGATTAAAAGTGACTTTGTGGGAGAAATGTGATGTGCAAAGTACTCTGTTCTGCTTTGCAACAACGAAGATTGTCTCACTATGCAACGGAGAGACAGGCAGAGGCTGGAGGGAGCCAATGCAGTCTTAGGAATGAGATGCTCTGCTTGACTTATCCAGATGAGTGGGAAAGGTAGTCTCAAACATCCAGATGACTACCTACAGCCTTCCAAACAAGGCTCCAGGACCAAAGTCCAGCGAGGTTAACTGGGCAGCCTTTACAGGGCAAGCGTGGGGGAGTGGGGGAGTGTCGTGCTCTGCCCTCCCTGCTCTGCCTGTGTGCGTACACAAGGCATTTATGGCTTGCCTTTCCCTTCATAGCTCAGTTGCCAGGTGGTCGGTCACAAGAAAGGGAAGAGATATTTTCCCGTCTCTGGCACTGAACAGAAAGCTTTGCCTATGCTAAGCATCCACTCCGCTGCTGGGCTGCAGCCCCAGCCAAGGGATTTTTTATGTGAGATCATCCTGGCAAGCTCTTTTACCATCCTTGACTTCCAGATCTCCAGGGCAACTGCTGTTGGGATGTCATAGGCAACAGATCATGACCCTTAAAGGCCACACTTCACAAGGGCAGATAAACAATTTCACAGTGACGGTCACGTAGCAGGCTCGTTCTTAAATGTGGGCTGGTTAGTTAGGATGATGTAAGTGGTTTTTTCCGCTCTCTTCCACATTCTGGCTCCAGAACCCTGGGTCGGGACATAGTCTAGGAATGTACCTTGGGCTGTGAGGTAAGGGAACAGAGGGCTGGAACTTGAGACAAGTCCCTTCTTTTAGACACAAGCAAGGACAAAGTCTTGACTTCCCCATACTGAGTCCCAAATTAAGCCCCAGACATACCCCAGACTGAGCCTGTGGCTTCCCTCTGCTTCTCATTCTCAATCTTAGTCTGTCCCTCTCCCTCTTCCTTCCCTGAGGTCATTTCGTCTTTATATAGAGGCAGTTGTTGTAGAGCGATCCCAAGGCAGCCTCGTGTACTCTCTCTCCTCATTGAACCTGGGTGAGCCATGGTGATGTGTTTGACCAAAAGGCTGTTTGTTACAGAAATTCTAGACCTTCCACAACTTGGATCCGGTCATGCAGGACGAGTGACAGCTCTTCAGGGAATCTGCCTCATGGACCTTTCTGACGACTCTAGCCTTAGCAGCTGTTGGATTTCTATGGCAAGTGATTCCCTAGAACTGGCTAGCTAAGCTGAGTCAGCCTAATAATTGTGGAAGTTACTGAGTCTGGGCCAGTGTGTTGAGTAGTGGTGGATAACCAAATAGGAGGCAAACGGAGAGTGGAAAGAGAGGGTCTTCCAAGGTTCCAGGCACTTCGAAGAACTCTAATTTCTTAGCCTCCAGGTCCTTGTGTTTCCCCAACATCACCCTTCTTGTTGGAACTATGCCTGGCACCCAGCCCCACGAACACCCCACATGATCACTTGTTGCTCCATGAAGATTGGTCTCAACACAAATACTAGAGTGCAGAGTCTTGCCTTGCTTGGCTCCTTCCCTCCTCAGCTTCCCCCTCATTGTGGGTCAGCATGGAGATTATCAATGGCAGCAGCATTCCCAGGTGTCTGAACTGTTTGGCTTTCAATCTGAGAGGTTTGATACCCACTGTTATGTGGTCTCTTCTTAGGCTCACCCAGGAGTCAGCCATACCATGAACCTCAATCTGTGAGGTTCATATACCTTCATATTACTCATGGAAAGAGACCTGGGCCAAGGGGCAGTGCTAGTCAGTTCAGACTTGTCACCAATAAAGTTACCTCAGGGACATTAAAAAGCCAAAACTGGGTGGGTGTGAGCTCCAGCATGCATTCGTGAACCTTCCAGAACTAGCTGATAACATACCCTGTGAAGGACCCTTCCATATGTCTGGGATCTCCTTTGACCGCCCATCTATGGGAGTGAGTAGCAGACTATGTTGGGGGTGAACAGTGAGAAAACAGGTCAACCTAGGTAGAAGTCAGTGCCCACTCAGGAGCCCCGTGATCCCAGGGCATGCTCAGAGTTTAGGAGAGGGGAAATAAAGGAACAGCAGGCCATGGGCAGCTCAGCAAGGGTTCCTTTATTCCTCTAACAGTCACTCTTCAGTGAGCCAGACTTGACTGGAGCATTGGAAGACATGGTGAAGAATGAGGCAAACATGATCCTGTTCTTGGGCGAAACATGTGGTGTCTGGCACATCTGTCGTTACACAGGCAGAGCAGGCTGACAGCAGGATGGGAGGAATTGTGGCATACCCCCATTACATCATCTTTTGACTTCAGTAAAGACCTAGACTAGAACTCACTGTGCTGTGAAGCGAGAATGAATGTCGACAGAAGTGTCAAACTGTATGGATCTAACCGCATCACTATTGGCTGTGTGACCTTGGGCATGTTGTTCTATCTCTGCAGGTCTCTAGTTTCTTGTCTCTAGTCAAACAGCACTTCACTTGGGGTGGGAGGGGGATTCCACAGGATCTTGCTGCCCAGCTATCACTTCACCTGGCTATGGAAAGTGCTTAGGAACCACCCAGGTTTCCCACAAGGCACAGGAGACTTGAGTCTTCCATGTTTTGACAACACAACAGCTCATGCTTAGACAACGTAGGAAGAGGATGGCAGGGAATTTAGGTAAAGGAGCCCTAGAGCCTCAGGAAGGGTCCCGTCTTGCCTTAATGCTACCTCAAACTCCAGCCTGTGGCAGTCCTAGGGGTCCCAGGAGAGCTGTGATTGGCGTTCAGCTTCCATCTTTCCTCTTAGCTTTCCACAGCCACGGTTCTTCTTTCACCTGAGGAAGACTGGGATGATGGGGAGACAGTGTCATGCCAGGGACACGCTTCTAAGAGGAAGCAGGGGACCACGCATGGATCTTCATCTTCATTGCCTTTGCCAAATAGCCTCCAATGTGAAGCCATGCACACGGTGCAAACATTTCCATCTACACAGGAAAGCATGAGCTAGAACCTCAGCTCCTTTCCAAGCAACACATCCACATGACACCAGCATCCAGATGGCGCCGGGAGCCGCTAACTCTGGGATGGAATTTATTCTCTGCTGAGGTACTTGGATCTCTGTGGGGAGAGTCATTTTCTTGAGAAAGTGTTCCCTGCACCTCATCTTCCAGGGGCCCATTTCCTGCTCCACAGGCTCCAGGTAAGTGAAGAGCCAGCACCAGGTCTGGGCTGGATTCCAAACCCCTGGTGTTCCCAACCCAGAGGAGGCATGCCTGTTGTAAATCTTGCTTCTCCTTAAAGTGGTTCAACAAAAGGAAGACATTGGATTCTTCCTTGGTACACCTAAGCCATTTGCTTTTTACTGTCAGCTAACCTCGGGACCCCAAAGTAAAACACGGAGCCCCACTGGGCCAACAAGTTTAGTCACCACATTCTGTCACCCTCTGAGAAGTCTGCCTATTAGCATATCTGATCACCTGAGGAACAGCTGGTTAGAATGTGTAGGGAAGGATGGCTTGTTGTTTTCCCCTCCAGATGTAATTCTTTGGACTCTCCACCCAGGGTCACTACGTGCTCAAATGGCATCGGTGTTTAAATCTGTCAAAGGCATCCCTTCTGTGTAAACGCAGCCCAGTCAGGACATGGCCTGCCTAGATGAACTTCTGCCCCCATCTGCTCTCTGAGCAAAAATGTCCAGTACAGCCATGCATGGCATGCCTCCGCCTGTCCCTGCTCTTTCTTCTCTTCTTGGGAAGGTCCTGGAGAGGGAGCAGTCAGAGGAAGAATTCTTGTGGACATTTGACACAGGTTTCTGGAGGCCTAAGACCCACACCTTAGAGCGGGCGTGTTTTGAGGTCTGGGAGAATTTGGCAACATTTTATGGCAAGGCTCAATTTTCCTGGGACAGAAGGCCAGCTTTTTGAAGTTAAGGTAATCTCAGGGGATGAAACAGCTGGTCAGTCTGCCTTAATCTGGTCTAGAAACTTGACAGCAAACACCTTTGGATTTGCTCATTTGGGTGCTTTAAGGGAATTCCCAAGAACTGTCACCCTCTTTAGAGAAAAAGAGGTTAGGTTCATGGTGCTACTCTCCACTCCTCCTGAGGAGCCAGCCTGTGGTTAGGACATCTGGGCCCAGGGAGTTTGAACACATCTCTGTTTTCAGGTCTAAATCCAGTCACCTGTCAAGAGGCTCGCTTTGCCTGCTTTGATGAATCCATTTACAGTGTTCTTCATGGTGAGGTCTGGGGGCCACGGGGGCAAGCCCGGAAGGCTCCGTGCAGGATCTCAGGGGTATCGTCTTCCCCAGCTGTGACCCAGCATAAGCACCTCTAAAACCAAAGGAACCACACACAGAATTCTCACATGTACAGACTTCAGGGGAATGATGACTTCCGGTTTAGTTCAGCGTTGTCTAAATGGACACTTAATAGGGCCCTGTACCAGTTCACTCTTCACCCAGGTATTTACTGACTAGCTACCACAAGCCAGTCCTGGGTCAGGCTCCGGGTGAACAGCACGTGAAAATAAGCACCTCTGCCTACAGTTGGAATGCCTTTTCCTGACCGCTTCAGCTCCTCATCCGATCTGAAGCCTG